ATTATTATTATTACATACAAGGAATTATGCCTTTTTTGAAGAATGTGTAAATACCTACATAGACACTGAAATATTTGAATAAAATACAAATAACTGCACCAATGTGTTTAATTGAGGCAAAATGTTGAAATAAAGGCAACCTTTTTGATTATTATTACATATGTGCCCAAGCCCTATAAAACTTACATTGATGATAAGGTTCCTTCTATAACACTTCAAGCTATGTTATGAATAAAATATAATTTTATAAGTTATATAAAATATAAAATGGGTGCATGTGTATATGCATTCCTATATAAAATACACCATTCGGAACATCCTTCCTGCTGAAAGCAAACCCACTTCTGACAATGCGTAAATCACAGGGCTGTTTTTTTAATCAGGCTAGCATAAACTGGGCTTCCTAAGCCTAACAAAGAACTAGTCAGTCAAGGACTAGCCTGAAGCCACAGAACAGAGATGGCTCTAAATACCTAAATGCATGACTCATCCTTCCTTTCCCTGGGGTTAGTAAGATGAGAGGTAGTTCTCAAACTGTCAAAGTGTATTTTGTGGCTTGATATTCATGCCAATACACCTGCCTGGAAACGACTCATTACCTGCCAAAGACATGTAAAGTATAGACACCGTGATCACCTTGCATACATTCCTTAAAAACCACAGGTAAGTCTGAGAGAGTGAACAGATCAGGTAGGGCTCAATTACAAGCTTCAGAGCACATAACCAGCTGATATTTAATGCAAACTGTAAAGAAATTAAATAGTATTTGTACTGCAGCTCATTTAAACTTTTAAAAATAAAGACATAGTATTCCAAAAGAATGTTCATTCACACAAAAAAGCTTATGAAGCTTTAAAACTGCCTTTTAATTCAGCCTCCTTGGGGATTTATTTTTAACATATCAACACAACAGGACCAAAAATCACAAATTAACAGTGCTGAGGTAATGAAAAACTAGATTCTAAAATAAAAGCTATCAAAAACATTGCATTCACTGAACTTGTTTCATAGGATATGAGTCTAGGAGTGAGACAATAACTAATATCCAGATTAATCATTGACCACACCCATCAGTGTTTTTTCCATCATATGAACCTTCAACAGACTCTACAGTTCTAGGTTGTTAGACATTTCTTCTTACCTTTCCACAACAGACAACAATTTTTAACTCCATCTCTTGAACTGTATGTGGTTCACTGGTTAGAAATATCCGACCATATAAAAATGTCAGTTGAGATGAATCTTTGACCATTTTGTTTAAAAAAAGGCTGTCATTACTAAACCATAATGTTTGGGGTCTTGTGAAATGTAGGTCTTTTACCAATCAAGCAAAAAAGATTAGTGTTTAGCTATATCCTATGGATTGGACTACTGCCTCATCAGACTACATAAATTCATTTGCTATTTGCTAAATTCATTTTTTTCTTTAAAAGCTTTAATTGACAGACTGGAAAAATTTAGTGGACCGTAATGTTGAGTCAGTAATATTGTCAGTCAATACCTACTAGTGTAGCACAGCTCTCTATCAAACACCAGTTAAAATAAGTTGAATATTAAACACATCTTCCTAAGCAGTAGTTCAATGTTTTTGAGTGTTGAAATAAAGCTGCAAATAGTGTCCAAATGCTCTGTTTCTTTTAAAGAAAAACCACAAACACCAACCAAATTGCTATTAAATATAAAAACAACGTGATTTGACTTACTTGTACTCCATCTTCTGGGACTTCTGGTTCGCTGTAAGATGATGGGCAACCTAAAATAAAAATATAAAGGATTCAGAGACATTTTTTGCTCACCACACCCTTGTAAATATTCCTGACATTTCAGTAAACATTCCGAAGTAAACTAGTAACTTGTCCTATTAAACTTGAATAGTTCAGGTGGGTAGCTGCGTCAGCATGTGTAGGCTGCAAAGGAACAAGTAATAGGTGTATTCCATGCTGAAAAAAAGAAGAAAGAAAACAACTTTTCGGCGTCACTTCATATGGCAGAAACATACCTTTTAGGTATGTTTGGCTATGCTGTATCAGAGCTATAGTTTGCATAGTATATTTTCCACACTAGGATTCTGGTCTCAGAAAAAAGTTCCACTAAGTAGTTTAAGAAGTTTGAGATGGTGTGAAAAGCAGCTGTTCTTGTGTGGAAGTTCAGAAAAGAACATTCTATAATCTAACACCACAGGGACTCGAATTCACTTAGCTTTTTAATCTGTAAAAATACAGAGTTTAAAAAAAAGATTCAGTTTAATCCATGTTCAATAAGATTCAAATAAAAGGTGAAAAGCACTACCTTTTAAGTAATGCTAGGGCTCAACTATCTAGTATTAAAATAATTTTAAGATTTAAAATACTTAAAACTCCTATTTCTTCTGAGAATGTCAAACTTCTTTCTGTACATGAATCATACCAAGCGTTGAATATATTCTTAACAAATCAAAACTAATCACACCTACAACACTGCAAACTGTCCTTGAACATGTCTCCAATGTATTTGGTTTTTCTTTTTTTATTTTGACTCATTTCAGCCTTTTGTCCAGCTGCTTAATGCCTCAGTTAAACTGCAGGCAGCACATATAGCTGTGTCAGCTGAGACTGAATGACGTAAGGGTAGTGTACCTAGTAGCCATGGTAACAGGGAACTGCAAAGTTGATACTGCAGCCCACAAAGCAATGCACAGGAATACAAAGAATTTTGTACATCATTTGACATTACTGCACAATTCAGCCATGAAACCTAAGGTGGAGCATTTCAGCTACAGGTCTTTCATGTTTATTATTCCTTAGAAAAAAAAAAACTTTTACCTAATTTCTAGAGCATACAATATACAGAATAGATTGATCTGCATTTTAAATTTTCCAGGAACATAGCCAACTCTGAAATAATCATTACAAAGCATTGTGATTTACAGCAACCCAATTCCAACTTGACCATTAAAACAAAACTTTCCATACTATTGAATGTTCTAGTCCCTGGGGTTCAAAGTATGAAAAGATGCACGCGCATTACATAACACTGCAGGCAATGGTAATCTGCCAAACTGTCTCCCTGGTAATTACATGCATGTTACCTTTGGCATTTTACTAAAAAACCTTATCAGCACATCAGAAACCTGCTGTGTCAAACTCAATGCAGGGCTGTGAATGGCTTCTACAGGAAGTCAGTATCTTATACAGTATCTTATTCATGCTTAGAGTGATAAGATAAACAGAGGGGCTGGTACAGGTCAGTACAAAGAGAACCAGTTCATGGAATGCCAGAAGTAATAAAGATTATATCTAGAAAAGGTTCAAAAACATTTAGGCTATTTTACAAATTATACAAATGACAGGAACAGTAATCAATGCGTGTTTCCTAACAAAACATGAAAGTACCCTAAATCTAATAGAACCTTTGTACAGCATTGAAAATTGGTCAAAGTACTAACCTAAAATAATTAAAAATGCTGAAAACAATGGTCAACCTTTGATTTCTGATGTCATGAGAAAACTCTAAACCTGGTAAGCAAACATTTACAATCAAATCTATGTATATATTCTGTAGTTTGCAGGAGGCAACTGAGGAACATATGTTATTTTGGTTCTTTTACATTATTGGAATGGATGAAATTCATTTCCCTCTTCTGGACACAATTCACAGGAAACTCAAAGCACAAAACAGCACATGCAATCAACATAAATAAAATGAAAGTACAGTAAAACATATTTAAAATCTTAAGTGAAGAGATAGGTCTCTTTTATTTATCAAGATTTTAGAATGTCAACAGTGGCTTTACAGATGCTTCGTCATCCATTGTGGACACCCTGGTGTTTGGTACCGGAAGAAGGCCTGTGTCAGCAGATATAAGGGTAAGAGCTCAATTCTGTGACTGCAATAAATTCCTAAAATAACCTGAAGTTGGACCATTCAGTCCAGCCTTATTTGTGCTCCAGGGAACCTTTAAAGTCCCCGATAAAGTTCAAAGAGATCTAGCACATGCAATTGACAGAGGACAAAAGTCATGCCAATGCACATTACTGTTATTTAGCAGAAGAGCAAGGTCAAAAAAAGGCTGTTTAGAGAATTAGAAAGAGCAGAAAAATTAAGGACTCAGAATAATCCTGATTAAATAAATTAATGTATCAATATTTAACCATCACCAAGGCAAAGTGAAGCACTTGACAGAGCATTGTGCCACAGTTGGAAAAGGATGTTCTTGTGATATTCCTAGCAATTCAAATGACAAGTAACACCCAAGGTTTTAAATTTAATGAAGTGTTGATTTCAAAAACCACACTGAAGTCACCAGCTTTGCAAGGCTGATATGGGGAGATGATAAGCATACATTTTTTTTCCACAGTTATATCAAGTTCAGTTGCTTCTATGATATCAAACATACAGCTGGAAAAAAAAGTAGAAACTGCAGCAAATAATATCCAGTTTGGACTGCAAATAATTCTGTACATCTGCATAGTACTGAAACCGAAAAATCAATGCTGGTCAATAATCTAAGAGGAAACACATAAGTAATAAGTATTAAAGGTCCCAGAACAGAATCCTGTTGAGCATCATCAGATGTAAAACAGTCAATTAACTAATCAACTATATATTAACATATATAAAGAATATTATATAACAAGTATATTACATAGGCTCTGACTCTCTTGTGATTCTATATTGGAAAATGGATGGATGCATAATATATAAGTGAATATATAATATATTCACATTTGGTAACCAAACGGGAGCCAAACCAACACCAATAAGTGCCAGTTATCCCTAGAAAATGTTCCATGTAATCCTACAGGATGCTGTGATTGACCATATCAAATGTTGCACTTGTATCTAGAAGGATAACCTTAGTGACAAAGAATTAGAAACCATCAGTAAATATTTTCACAAGGGTTGTTCCAGTCCAGCCAGTTAGGGTTTGGATGGAGTACTGTCTACACCTAAAACCCTCACTGAACATTTTCAAAGGGTTCATTAGATAAGATGGTAATTGATACTGCACTGTCAACATGTTTTGCAAGAAAATCTTGAATTAGGACATTATATAAGCACTCAGGGGGTACAGACCGGTTATGATAGCACAAGTGTTTCATCATACAAGAACAAGACCAACTTTTCTGGGATTCATTAGAAAGACAAAAAGCATAGAAGCTAGCTTTGTGTAGAGGTCCAAGGACAGTACAAAATAATTACAAAAAAATACAAAATAACCATTCTGGTTTTAAATCATAAAAACGAAAATGTATTACTTGAAATAAAATGTGGGTTTTTGTCTGTGCAGTACCTTAGCACAATCATTTTTAAAAACAAAAATAGTAAAAAAAAATTACTAAAAAACTTTTTTTACAAGATACTGCAAAGATAGGTTTACCAGTTTTACTTGGTAAACATTAAAGCAATGAACGTATTTTGAGGCTGTCTACTGAATCTTCAATGATTAAGACAAATCACAATTTAATAAAAAATAAGTATGACATGATTTAAGTCTATAAATAAGCCCTAATTTAATTTACAGTTTGACAGTCAAGAATATAACAGACTCTATAAAATGAAAGAATTATAACAAACCCCACAATCCTATTTTTAAACTACTTTGGGAGGGTCTACTTTGCCACACCTTCTGCTATGACAAAGCTCTTTCACAGCAGAGTATTTTTCATCACTGTGGCAGAAAAAGTACACTGATAAAAGTCATAAGACACTTTTAAACGAGCTATGTATAACTGTACTTAATTTACAGTGGGAAACATACCTTTATATACAATTTATAAGTATATACTGCTCGAAATGCAAACAGCTTTATATCCGTCCCCACACTTTTTTCAGTGTCTGACAACTGCTTTAGTATTTGAATAGTTTATATAAAGTTTGTAACACATCCATTTTAAACCAAAAAAATACCTTGGTTGATGTCCTCGATGGCTCGACGAATACCTCTGTCAAAGGCTCTTGCATCAGCAGGACTCTGGAAAGTCAGCCCAAACTTCTTCTCATTGATTCTCCAGTGGTGAAATATTGGGTTAACCTTGTTGTACACCAGCTCCTTCTTCAAAACACACTCCAAGACAACCTGAAGGCCAAAAGTACTTAATTACTATTCAAATAAAATTCAGATGATCAATGACTTGTAAATGTTGGGTGAAATGTTCAAAGCAGTGCCCCGATAATCATTAAACATGAATAAAAAAGTGAAAACACAAAGATCAGGGACAGCCTTTTAGAAAAAGGCTACTTTTCCCAGCAGTAGCACTCAAGCACTCAAACTAGAAAAAACAGCTCCTGACAAACAAAAAAAAGTTTATCGAGTAAAAGAACAGTAACATACATCCATCTATGTAAGCTTGGAATAAGTTTGGTCGTCCTGGGAATCTTTCCTATTGGCAAAATCTGCATCCATGTAGTCTGTTCAGCAGTAAGTTTTATAAAACCCATTATTAAATCAGACCATCTGACTTAACTCCAGGACAGCTCCTTAACAGATTAAATGAAATAAGAGATGGGCATTATGGGCTTTGTGCTGTTTGCAAAGCAATTGAATGTATCCTGTGTGGTTATTTGTACTAGTGAAAATAAGACGTCTATATTGAATAACAATGCAAAAATGAGTCCTACAATGCAAAGGGGGCCTATTTAGGGAATTAAATATATAGAGTATTCTCGATCATTCTATTCATTCATCTGCACAATTCTGACACTGCCAGTTATATTTTAAAAACAAACAATTTTCCAAACTTTTCAAGTAATGTGCAATTCAGAAGCGCACTGTTGTTTTGAGATAAAATAACCTGTAAAATTGTGCCGGTGCATCTAACTTAAGCGTTAAATGTCAGCTCTCTGTGTATATACAGCATGTGCTTAAATCATACATCACTTCGCACTTATTATAAATTCTGTGTTTTTTAGTCAATAAGTTTCTCAAAGCTCCTTAAGATTAGTGTGGAATTATGACCGATTTTCCTTCCGACATCTTCCAGCCACTATAATGGGATGTCAGAGCAGAGTGCAGGACGGTAGAACGCCTTGTGTCTGTGCCAGAAGGGCACAGCCCTGTGTTTACACAATCCAGTGGCCAGGAGGAGGCTGGAGCAGAGGCCGACAGAGGAGACTAGACTGGCTGGAGCCAGCACTAGTAAGGTGAGCACAAATGAAGAGGAAGAGGAGGAAGTATTCTCATTACTGGTAATATACCACATTTCACAACAGTTCCAAATAAAAAAAAAAGATGAATGGAATTCTGTTTCAGTTTCAAGTTGCTGGGTTTCCTAGTCCTTGCAGTGCTTTTTGCTGCCTGGAGCCGAAAACGTATCTGTTATCTCGACCCGCAGAGGAAATGATTTTGCAGCTTTGAGGCTTGTTTCCTTAAAAACAGTCTTTGTGAATTAAAATGGGGGCAGATGGGAAAAATTGTATTTGTGCATTTGAAAGTCATCTGAGCTAACACTATTCTTAAAGAAGAGTGAAACACCAACATATTGTCCTAACGAAGAAAAAATGTCAAACATGCTAAATATTCATAGTGAAATATTCCATCCTATATAAAAGGAGGGGAAAATAGGATACAGGATGCCCTAGTGATTTCAGAACGTTCTGGTGCAAGTAGGAAATAGCACAAATGCAATTTTGCTTTTATTGACAATAGCTTTATTAAGGGCATTAAAAGCTGTTTCAAAGTAGGGGAAGTATTTTAGTGATACTGTAAATGGAAGAATTATTATGAATAAAAACTGATATTATATATACAGACATACCTGTATTACAAATGAAATGCAGTGAAAAGAAATGAGAGTGGTACACCAAACTATCACATATGAAACTTCTACCTTAAATGCTGCCCAAAGCCCAGTAAGAATATAAGAACTTTAAAAAGCCAAGAAGGTAGGCTAACACTTTGTTCAACGAAATTAACTTATAAACACTGTAGCCTTACTATGTGTATAAATAATACATAATGCACTATCTGGATTCATCATCAGGAAAGACCCCTATCCCCAGTAAAGGAAATGGCACCCCGGGGCCTATCCCAGAAGTATAGGCAGGACAATATCCTTGGATGGAACACAACTTAATTGCAGGTGTGGACACATTTTAGGGCAAATTTACTTAGCTGGCTTTGTAAGGTGAAAGAAAAACAAAGTACCGAAGCTATCGAAGCACAGGAGGAGAACTTCAGTCCCTTCCCACATAAGGTAGCCTGGTCTATAATAGAACCCAGGATGCGAGACCAAAACACTACCACCACTGTGGCATTTAATATTTGCTATATTTTCACCAAAATACACAAGTACAAAAACTGTAGCATTAGCATTAGTAAAACTGATGGAATATGGTTTATCACAAGTTTAAATTTTAAACATATTAAACATTTACAATATTTTATATCTTTTTATGTAATGCTACTGAGGGATGGGAACAAAACCAATATAGACAGCTCTCTATGCCTAAAAGGTTTAATATCATAAATGGCCACTCTGATGCTAATTAATATTCAAGCCTTCAAGATGAAAACACATCACATGGACATAACTGTATCCAAACACTACTGACTCATCGGCACATTCTGTACCATGTTAAACCCTAAAAACACGCCAATTGTAAGAGCCTAGACACACTTCAAAGCCCTTTCTGTATGCTTCTTCTATCACTTCATTATGTACTTAATGTTGAATTAAATTTACTGCACTTATATGGTAACATAAGCTCCTTCATATAAGTTCAAAATTATTCAACACCTTCTTATGGTTTCAAATAAAAGACCAGTTTTTGTGTGATCCTGATCTTTACAGCATCTTAAAACTTTCACTTCATGTGAAACTAAGGATGTTCGAGTGGGGAGCTACATCAATTCCACAGTGAAAAACAGAAAAAGGAAACTGTTTTGGCTGTTGAGCCGTCTAACATTTAAAACAATATTTTTTGAAAGGCAAATAAACTTAAATGTTAACAAGTACCTGACATCCCTTCATCTGCTATTATTAATGATGCTTTAAAGATGGAATCAGTTCGCAGGGTAATTCAAACAACATTGCAATTATGAAGAAAGTGTTGAATGTTAATTTTCAAAACAATGCTGAACATCCAAACCACATGCAGTGACTTAACTGCTGGGATGCAGACAGATTTAATTCATGATTTTCTGGCAAAAGCTAATGACTTTTCATGTCGTAAAAACAGTTCAACAATTCTCTAAATGATCTTGTGTTTCTGGCTAGAAAAATAAACAAAAGATGGCTATTGCAGAAAAATATGCAAATATTAAAAAGTGGCAGCAAATGTGCCATGACACTTCCATCTCAATATAGATCAGGAGCATGGTTATTTTTCCACATGTGAACAGCAAGACAAATATACCCACATCACTCACTGTATTGCTTTTAATAAATCAGACCCTGTGTGCAACAACTAGTTATTTTAGATTCCCGATGTCCGTCTTGCAGCTGTTCCTGTGGGAATACAGTGAATCTTCAAGATGTGCTTCCTGTCCTTGGGCTACAGCAGGAAGGAGGTGGTTTTAAGCCTCTTCCGAAATGACCCTAGTCTTTTGATGAAGATCACTTTGAAAATCTCCACAGAACAGAAGACTTCCTCTATATATCCTGCACATTTCCCCTTGAGCACGCCTGTGTCCTTCACAAATGTCAGCCCTTTGTAAAAGCTAATCCAAAATAGTCTTTGACGCTCTTGAACCTAGCGTGTTCTAATGCGTTTCTTCCCCAACTTTCCTAAATGCGTTGGTCCCTAGTTAGGCAAGTAGCTGAATATTCTGTATGTTGCAACTGCTGACAGAAGTCACAATACTGCTTTCTTTGTGGTGCCTCCATTTCTAAAGCATGGAATTAATTTTTGTTTATCAAAGAAAGAGGGTGCTGGAGCTTTTGAACAGTTGGCTTAAGCACTCCTACACTTACAAGACATTTGGTTCTAATGCAATACATTTTCATTGCGGTTTGCTGCATCACTCAGAGCTGCCTGACGTGGCCGCATTCTACCTGCAAAAACTGCCAGAGAAAGCCAAATAAAAAAAAGATAACTGTCAATTGTGTCTCATTCAATTCAGATTTATATCACGTGTGTGTCTATTTATGATAGGTGGCAATGGATCAACAGACAATCATATCCTATCTGAGGTTTGGAAATCACCTTGGAAAAATATAACCAAGGAAGTGTGGGTCTCAGTAATTCCATTTCTGAAATCCATGCAAATACTGACAGGTTTATCCGCTTTTCCCAGTGGGGGAACAGCTCTGCTTTCGCTGGCATCCAAACATTAAAATGTTGCTCTAAAGAGGAAAAACAAAAGCACCCCTGCCCCCGCCATCCTCTTCCTTTAGACTTTGTCTTATTTATGACACCATGATGCATTATGACATGCGATCCTATTTTCAGACACCTCATTATGGAGTAAAAAAAACAAGTGCTCTCCAAAACAATACTTCTAAAAAAAATGAGGAGCTCCATAACCGAAATCACAGCAGCTATAAGTGCAGCGGTTTTAAGATTTGGGCCTTGTTGTCTAACTTTGAATGAATCTTAGGTAACAATATAATAGAGAGGATGTGAACTACAATATGTAGTATGTACAAAGAAATAAAAAGGAAAAAAAAAACAATCAATTGCTTCAGTACAATCACTCATGATTGTTACTGAAGGACAGAACTCCCTTCTCATTTGTAACCCATCTTGTTTATTTTTTAATATAGTTACGAGCACATAATTGACTTGAACCTCTCGCCTAGCCAATTCTTGAAACATCTCCTGGAACTTCCAAACACAGTCTGAATCCTTCACATGTGGCCACAAAGATCATTCTTCCGTCCCCTTCTAAATTTAAATCAAGATTGCGTTTATAAGCAGGCTTCTTCCGAATGTGAAACACGAAGCAGAGGGCACAAGAGGAAGTGCACTTCTTCACTCAAAGGATTGTGGGAGTGTGAAATAAGCTACCCAGCAATGCTGTTGATGCCAATACCATGATTTGTTTTAAGAAACAGCTGAATAATATCCTTGGCTCGATTGACTACTGAGCCCCCAAAGGGGACAGACTGGTCAAATGACCTCCACTCACTTGCAAACTTCCTTACAATCTTAATCACTTATACACTTGGCAATTTTAGCTTGAGTAGATATCACCCTTTTCCTTACTGCTTCAAGCTCTGTACGGCACAGAGGCTGTGTGCACACACCTATGAAGTTCCTACTATCAGAACTATTATCATGGGTTCCAAAGTGCAAGACAGGAGAAGAGCATTGACTGGAGGTGCAGCAACATCTCACCGATATCACTGGGCATCCCTGAAGTCCCTGCTGCACTGCAAGCCAAGGAAACCGTGGTCAGCTGAAGTCCACACAACCTTCTTAGTGCTCAACATATTGTGCACCACCACTCGGTGAATTTTAAAACTTGTTGGCTAAAGCCTTAAATAAGGCACAAATAAAATTATCTGGTCTATGGTAGCTCAAGCTGCACTTCACACAAGACCCACTCAGAACATTCCTTAAAAGTACAGCTTTACATTCACGAACAGTGCAGAAAATAGATGATCTCCACCTCTCAAACTCAAGGGAATCTGAAGGCCAACCACATTTGTTTTGCATGAACAGAACAAAGAAGAAGCGAGTGCCCGCCTTACTGTTTTGTCTTTAAGTCGTTCTCCTTGGATGAGAAAATCAGCGCAGCCATTCTCCTCCTGATGGTTGACTTTGTAGACCGTAACACAGCTGAGTCCTCCCCCTCCCAAAGGCAGCCATCCACCACTTGAGTCATCCCGGGTCATCACCACTGCTCGCACACGTGCATAACTGTCACTGGGACACAGGAGAAGAGAGCAGGTTAGCGGAAACAGAAAAGAGGAATGGATCTCTTGCTTTTGTACTCTACGGTGCTGCGTGAAGTATTGGTTAACCTCTTGTTCTTTTTGTTTTACAGATCACCTTCAGAATATCTACACCACACTTGCGGTGAACTATAAACAGACATGAAGTAGTCAGCACAGTGGCTCCAAAGCATGAGGTGTAAAAAAAAAAAAAACATACAGCACGATACAAAGCGGACCTTAACAGAAGTACAGCAAGCTATAAACCTCAAGTAAGAAATGAGACATTAACAGGAAATAAATGAAAACTATTCTATGTGGGTGCATACCATATACATTCAGTGGCACCACAATCTTCACATTACACTTAGTGAATATAAATATGAGTTGCTCAGCCAAAGCCAGGCAGTCTGGCAGATTTGTTCCTGCAAATACCCTCATTTTAGAAGGCCTACTAGTTTAAGGCTCCTTAAAATCTCTCTTTAGGAGAGATTAATCTGGGAACTAGTGGGAGACACTTTTGGGACAGTGGAGGATATCTGCATCAGATTTTTAAATTTTTCCAGAAGGGAAAATTTTTTTTTCCTGAAAAAAGAAACTACAAAGTTACATACAGTAAGTGTTTTTTATGTATTGCTCAAATTTCCTGCCAGTGATGTTAATATTGCCAAGTCCAAAAGGCTAGCACAGTCCTCTCTCATGTGGCAACCTACTGTAACTTCATCTTCTGAAATAAGTCTCCTTTTCTAGAAAATTGGAAAACAGGGGATCTTACTGAAGAACATTTGATGTATTTCTTGCTCTTTGAGTGATGTATTACTTTAGGAGGTTATGTTTTGCTGCTATGAGACTTATGTTTGTTATATGATGAGTTTGCGTGATTGCAAATTTCTTTTCCAAAATTCAGGAAAATCTTAAAGGGTCCTAGAGTTTTGTTGATGGAAAAAGCACAGCAACACCAAGCAAACTTAATTCAAACTGAACACAGATCAGGATAAAATAATATACATTTCTACGTTTCTCAACATTTTAAAAAGCTCAATCATTTAAGCTGTTAATAAATCAAAAACCACTTCCAGCAAATGGAGCACACTGACAGCCTAAGCTCTGTTCACCTGAAATTAGGCTACATGCTTGGTTAGACTATATATGTTAAACTATATAAGTTTTATTTGTAAAATAAAAAGATTACCAAGCTAAGATATTTTTATTCCTTTAACAATCATTACACAGTTAATAGCCCAATTAAGATCCTGTAAAACCTTTGAATGATTAACATTTCCTAAACTTTCACCTACAAAAGGATGGTAAACTTCTGTCCCTTCCCACTATTTAAGTGACTTTAATACCAGTTTGATAAGGAGTGTACATTCCAATCTACAACCGGAAATCACAAAGGTCAATGCTTGCCAAAGACTACTTCTTATCAACCCTGTCACTTCTGGTTATATATTAAACAATAAAAAAAACTTTGGAGGCATTTTACAATGGTACACTTCTCTTTGCCATGTTATAGACCTACATCCGAAACTTGAATGGATATAGAACAGATCTCTAATATTAATTCTCACTTGACACCTGAAGTTTCATACTCTATATTGCTGAACATCATTAACAGTCCAGATTAGTAAAACCTACCAAGTCAGTTTGGATCTGTTGAATCCCTTATCTGCAAATGGAAAAAGAATTGGACCAAATTCAATTTGAGCCTAACCTCTACGAGTCAAGCCAAACACAGCTTCTTAGAAAGACCTAGACCTTGAAGAGTGGTGGCAAATGTATCTTGCATAGTTTCATCACACAGACACAATAAAGCAAATCTGAGACAAGTGTGTAAAAATGTGTTCCATTTCTAGGGTTTAAGATTGTTACTTTTATTTTAAACAAATACTACAAACACCTTGGTGTAAAGACTCTGCACTTAAAAAAATCCTGCTTACCCAGCCCTTTCAAGAAACCACTGATACTTGTGTATGATACATGCTCTCTCACACAAGCCTTCTGATATAGTCTGCATTTCTACAAACAGCATTTTCATTAAAAGAACAATCTTAAGTTCAATAACGAAAGCAATTTACTGGAATCACAGTACCTAAAATAGGTATTTATTCTTATATTATTTTAGGACAAAAAAATCTCAATACTGAAGCCAACCATATGACAAAAGGGCATTTATGCTAAGCAGGCATTCTGACTTATCTTGTTAAGCTTGGGTTGGTTATCTGTTCAGATCAAAAGAAAATCCTTTGGTTCATTATCTCTGGCACTGCTTTCTTTCTCAGTTACAAAGACTAGATATTTCATTCAAAAAGGTAAGCTGGATATTTTCATTGCAAATAAAATATGAATACTTATAACAGTAAAAAGCCTTACACCTGAAGAATCTAATACTCATATAGGACAGCAGATTAAGTGAATATTTCCTTGTTTTTGTCAAGCTAAAAAAAATCAATTTCTGAACTCAACTAAATATTTATCAGGGTCCCACTTCAGTGTGAATTGGTTGAATTTAAGGTAATCACACCAGCCCACTAAAACTGGGCATTTCCTGAAACATTTTGCTCCTTTTAACATGAATATTTGCTGTAAAATACCAATAGTGACGAAGTCTACTCATATCTTTTATTCACATTATCCTTCACAGGAAAACTTTCAGATTAGAAATGAAATATTCCACCAATCAGTGCTTACAATTCTGTCTGCTTTACACAAAACCAGCCATAAAAACTATGACTGTAACCATGTTAACCATGCACACCTTTTCCAAATGAATATTTTAAGGTAATAACATAAATGGGCAATTCATTGAACTGCTAAAATACTAGAGCATTAACTAAAACTAAGATAAAAGGCCTATCAATGTCAAACCATTGTAACCATGTAATTCCATTGCAAGTCCATCACGCACCACCATCTCTTCAATTTCAAATAAACCTCAAAAAAATGCTTTGAAAAGATTGGCTCCCAAAAGACAAAAAATAGGTAACACTATAAATCTAATTCCAGTGACACTGTATTAAATACAGTTGATATATAATCACATTCAAAAGCTCAGTGGTATGATAAGTCAGTAAGAGTAATGAGAATAATAGTAATGAAAACAATATTTTTATAAATGTGAATATTCAGAGGAGACAGTTTAAAATTATTTTAGACTTAATTTATCAAAACTCAACGGGAAAAGAACAGATTTTTATTTTGTATGCATCTTTTCCAACTTCTCAACCTACAAAGGCATTATATTACATGAACTGCAAGATCTTGAAGTCCAGTTTTCTGAGCGCAGATGAAGCACTTTCTCCCTCCTGCCACCCCTTAAAGAAGCTGCACTCTCACACCTCAAGATCTCGGCACAACAGGGCTTGTCAGGAGATGGCCCAGGGTCTTCAGGTCTTTACACATCCCAACCCTAACAAATCGGTGCACTTTAATGAAAAGAGGGCTCCTATTATTGCCCCCTTTCTTTGTCTGCCCTAACGAAAGTAAACATTTGCTGTTCCTTACAAGGACAGCCTGAGGAGAGACAATCCACATCAGTTCCACAAGTAACACCCCTCCTCCAACCCCGCCACCCACCCTAACAACACCCAATCTAACCCTTATTGACAGGAAGGAAATGCCAAGAAAGCAGGAGCCATGTCACTCACACCACAAGGCCAGAAGGCAAGCAGCTGTCCCCCAGAGCAGTGACCAGAGCCTGACCTCCACATGCCAGTGGGCGGCCCACAGTCAACCTGAGGACAGAGGGGGTGAACTGCTAAATCACTGAACTTTTGGCATGAACAATAAATCACCCCAAATGGGAGTAAAATAATTTAGCCTCGCAATTTGAGCACCAATGCTTTATTGACCAGGGCACCACATTAAAAGACCTACTTGCTTTGTTTTGACTACACTTAAAACACTTTCAGCCATTAACAAGAAAATGTGTTTGGAGGTCTAAACAGTTCCCCTACAATGGCTGTTTAATCTTACCTTTGGATCAACCCATGATGTAGGACATCAAGAAGGCTTTAGCAACTACGGATCAACATAACTGTCCCCGTATTGATACAAAAAAATAATATATTAAATTACACATCTGGAGTATAAAGATGTTCAAGTAGACATTTTTAACATTCAAATAATGGCATTCTTTGGAAGTAAATAATTTTTAATTGTCCTAGGTCTGATTTTAATTCAATCCAGATCTACATGAATCAGCAGGCTGTAAAATGATAGCATTATCACCTCAAAAGGATGTGGCATGTATGTCTCGTTTAACTGCTTCAACTTAAGCTGACAAAGCAGTGCTTGATGGCATGAGATTTTATGGTGCCGTTAGCTTTATTATGCCACTATGGTATAGGAACTGCAGTCTTACGGCTGTACCCCCTGCCTGAAGTTCTGCTACTCAATTCACCCTATAAAATATAGCTGGACAAAAACACGCCTCCTGCTTGCAAACATTCATCACAAAGGGCCTGGGAGAGAGGTGTTGCACAGAAACCACAGCATACTTTAAGCAATAAGTGCATTAACAATTAAAATTTCTATTCACTCTAGAGGACAATCACTGCATCCTCCTCAAAGAAAATGTAAGGCTCCAGAAGCCACGGACAGAAACAGAAAAAAATCACTGACCTAATGTGTTGGGATTTAATTCTTTTTTTTTATTCATATTTCTCCCCCTATGCCCCCCAACCCTCAACTGGAAGCTGGGTAGTGAGCAGGCACAATGGGACAAACCCGGGCTCCTCGCTGTGAGGGCACAGTCCAGTGAGCGCACAGTGAAGGCCAGAAGCCGATCTGCTGGCAGCGAAATGGGAATGCGATTCAAAATTATTCCAAGTTATTCTGCTGGATGACTGACTTCATTTCCGAAAAGTAAGGTCAAGGCACCCAGAGATCGAACGCTCAAGTTCGTCAGTAAACTGTAGATTAAAGACTTTCCTTCCGTAGGTCAATTCACACAGCTACTTTCTTTCATTAAACGGAATAGTTCACTAAATT